CGTGATCTATTCCCATTTGCACATGGGAATATCTAGGGGTTGTAGCTTGCCATGCGACCACTGATTCTCGGCCTTGACAATCCTGCAGGTCAAGCACCTCTCGACATACTAAGCGATTTCTCGCTTTGTGCACAGCCACCAGTAACCCATACTCAAATCCTTGTACATCTTGGTGGCCCCTGGGAGAATAGAGAATTGAGACTTATGATCCTCCTACAAAACCATCTATCTGACCCCACCAGCCATCGGAACCCATCCATCCTGCACAAATCGTGTGTTCTCGCCCATGATCCTCTCAAGTTTCCAGTTCTCTTATCGCATACCCTCGGCCTGGGAGTCTCTCATCAAGCCCCCAAGTGGAGAATCCATTGATATCCTCATACATGTCGCCGGTATAGAAGATCCAGTTGACTTGCGGCTCAGGGCGTCCGCAACCACATTCACTTTACTTGGGTGGTAAAGGATCTCATAGTCATAGTCCTTGACTAAATCCAGCCGCATGTGTTGTCTCATGTTCAGGTTCGGCTGATCCATGATGTGTATCAAACTCTTGTGGTCTGTGTATATGGTACAGTGGACCCCATAGAGATAGTGTCTCCAAATCTTGAGACCAAATATCACCGCTCCTAGCTCTAGATCATGTGTAAGATATCTCATCTCATGCAACTTCAGCTGCCACGAAGCATACGCTATCACCCACCCTCTCTACATGAGTACCACTTCCAGTCCGATGATAGATACATCACAGAATACAACAAAATCCTCAAATCCTTCCGGAAGAGTCAGGACAGGAGCCTTGCAGAGTCTCTAGCATAGAGTCTCAAATGCATTCTGTGTTGGGTTTTATGTACTCTAACATCCCTATGGTGCACATACAACTCTAATGCTTTGGATCTAAGTTTTCTCTAATTATACATGCAATATTCATATTCCAAAGCATGAATCCTAACTATCATGAAAATGTGACATTTGAAACATAAAAACTAGTTAGAAAATTACCTTGTGTAGTAGCTTGCAGAACTTGGCCTTAAGAGAGCTTAGCACCTCAAGTGTGATGCCTCAATCAAGTCACAAACACCAATAAACAATTAGATGGATATGAGGGAGGTTTAGGAGACAAAAATCGGCTATACTCTTCTTTAAATGCAATTTTAGGGCTTAGGGTACATATTTATAGTGTAGAATTCCAAGAGTCGTGTGTTAACCCTAATTCTTACACTTAAGCTTATCATCCAACAATATGATTTGGATTATCACTTAACAGACTTTCACATAAGCATAGTCCAACATAAACTAATCATGGATGATTAGCCCAAATCATTTGTTTCACTGATTTACATAATCAGTCCCTGTTAATTTAATTAGTCTCTTATGATCACTAAATTAATTCAAAAGTAATTATTGATCAATACTAATTAAATAATATGATTTCTCAATTAATATATTATATTTATAATATATTAATAAATCATAAATAACCTCTTTCTCAAATATCCATCTATCATATTATTATGGTGAAGGCAACCCGAAATGGACCATGTTACTATCAAGTCAAGTACATACCAATTATAGTTATGGCTTAGACACCTAATCTAACAGTCTCCCACTTGGATAAGTCTAGAACTATAATTGCCAATGTAACTTCAAAATCCAATTAGAAACCGTAGCTCTCAAAAGTCGTTGTTAAACTCTGATGCGTCCATTAGCTAAGGGATCATATAATCCTCTGTTCTTCAATATATTGTGCAAAAAAATACATGCAACATGGTCATACTTATTGTCTTGTAGTTGGTTTCCCAATTTCTGATTTTTTTGACATAGAACTTAATTGACCACATCAATAGAGTTCTGACCGGGTCCGACACATAAGTCAAAACAAAATCATTGAGGGCCCCAAGATATCACTTTCAATCCTCCAAGGACTAAAAGGAATAGATAAACTTCGACTTATATGCTTGTAATAACTACTCGTTAAATTATACACAACATCACGTTTTATAACATCATGTTACTCACTACTAGAAAAACAGCCTTTTACGACGCTCATTGCGCGTCGTAAAAGGCTCAGACGACGCGCAAATGCGTGTCAAGGAAGGCCCTGTCATAAAGAGAGACGACGCGCATTTACGACGCTGATTTACGACGTGCAATTACGACGCGCGTTTACGACACGCAATGCGTATCAAGGAAGGCCCTATCATAAAGGAAGACGACACGCATTCGCGTGTCGTAACCTTACGACGCGCGTGTTAATGACACGCAATGCGTATCAAGAAAACCCTTGTCAAGAAAGGCCATGTCATAAATGAATATGACACACATTTTTGCGTATCATAAATTTAAATGTTTAAAAAAATATGTTTACAGATTTACTAATTTTCAAATTAATTTTGTATTTAATTTCTCATAATAGAAAATAAATATCATATACAAAAAATATAATCCATTGCATAAAACTTAATGTCATACAAATAAAATACCATAAATAACAAAGATAATTCATTTCACTAATATGTCAAATACAAATAATTATTCCAATAGTGAGTAAATGTTATGAAAAAATGAACTCAAGAGAAGCAGAATATACAATTGCATTATCTAGCTTACTATCTACCAACAACTCTGTGTGTTTGCTTTTTGCTTGAGTCTCGTTTCCTCTAAAACTTCTAGATACAGTGGCTTGCTTCTTCCTCGTTACTGTAAGCAGAACTGAATTACATTAGATGCTAATGTAATTAATTATGTTGCTAAGGATAAGGGTGGGGCTACTAGAAAGACTTATTTATATTCAGCTAGAACATAAGTATCTTTATGAATCTTAACTAACATGAGAACAAAAGGCTTATGGATGTTAATACAGAATAGTTCAGGGGCACAACCGTAAATAAACAATTAAATACTACATGTGGGTTTGATGTTAGAACAAGGTTGCAAATGCAGCTGTAAACATGCATGAATTATAAACATCATGTAATAAAAACTAATTGTATTTTACTCTAAATTCAATAAACATTACAATTATTCATTTTTTAAAGTCTCAAATCTTTAATCTTGTAATTCATTCCACTTCCATTTGTAGTATGATGAATCTGAACACAGAAGTGAAATGGCAAAGAATTCTTTAGAGAGATATACTCACTATTATGAACGTTGGGCTACTAACCAATCGGTATAAAGGGCATAATTGTAATTTTCTATATATTTGTAAATTTATGTTTCTGATACATAATACTTTGATTCTTTTTTTCACATTAACAGTCGAGGCAAAAAGCACTTGCGGATTTACTACATATGCAAAAAGTTCATGTAAGTTAGAATTCCAATATTTTATTGGTAATATTATATTAAAAATAAAAAGTCTTTTTTTAGTATTTTATTAGGTTTATTAACATCTGGTAAAATTTCGGCTTGCAAAACTTAGTGAGAGGCAATGCCAACCCAAGACACAGTTGAAATTTATTCTAGAAGTTAGGTTGCAGGTATATGCTACTTATATTTAATTTTAATATATATTTTTTATTCTAAATGATGGTTTTCTATTGCAGATAGTTGAATGTAGGCGTGTGTTAAAATGGACATATGCGTATGGGTATTAGGTTGGGATAAATTCGTAAAATTTAACTGTGTGTATATGATAGGGATGTAGCTTTAGAATAAGTAGAACAATTACAATATTATCCTCCTAGGGAACAAATAGACTTACCACTTCAGATGCATCAGGAGTGAGTTCAACAAAAGATCCAACAGCCTTGTAACCCTTCTTTCTTCCCAACCTAGGGACTTTTTCTATTCTTCAGCAACCAAGCATCAGTCATAGGATTTTCGACCAATTCCTTATCCTCTATCAATAACACCAAGAAATCCTACACAGATAAAACCATGATTCTGTTAACAATTACTGGTTTATAGTTGTATAAATATACTCTTACTCACCATAGAGGAAATATCATATTTAAACATGTTGACTCTCTTTTCTGTTAACCAGTAATCAAGAAATGGGCCCACAAGTAGAAGGGATCCAGCCTGGATAGGTGTTGTATGTCCCAACAGATTGAAAGAGCTTAACAAGTATTTCCTTTTGAGATAATGATGGAAGACAAGTCATCATCTTGTATTCCTATAAGAAATCAGTTGATCACAAACTACATGTGCAACTGCAGGTATATACACACACACATAGAGAGAGAGAGAGAGAGCAGAGAGAGAGAGAGAGAGAGAGAGAGAGAGAGAGAGAGAGAGAGAGAGAGAGAGAGAGATAACCTTGGCATGTGTCATTATCTCTTTAGCCCAAGAGAAGAAATTATTGTTGTTGATGTTGCACACCAGAAACAAGAGATTGTGAAGAAACCTCTCAGAGGAGCAAGTACAAGAAACCTGCATAAACTTCAAAGTAAACATACATGTTATATTTTATATTGTGCTTCAACATCTACCAAAGGGTATTGTTGTCTTTTAACAACAATATAGCGGAGAGATTCCATGGTTCCACGTTTGAATCTTTAATAACACAGGCTTTGTTGAGAGACCTAAATAATATAAGTCAGGCTATGCTATATTTCTATTCTTTTTAGTTACCAACATGGAAAACTAATGTATTTTTGTAGTAATTGTCTAGCCTTCTGTTCTCTATTAGCTCACCTTGATCCATTTCATCACTCTGCTTATAGCAGTCATCATGACAAAGACTGACTTTCCGTTTCTTAAAAGCAACAACTAGAACTTGAATGGACCCTAAAAACAGGCTCTTACCAACTTCATCTTTAAAAAAAGAGGCGATCCAGTAACCATCCTCTGTTGTCAATATCTTTATACAAACAAAACAAAAAAAAATCAAAGATTATTCTTAATAGATATTGTTAAGAAAAATATTAACAAAAAAAAATCACCTAGAAAAAAACATTAAATCTTCAGCAAACCTTTCTAATATTAGTAAGCAGCCTCATATGTTCTTCAGGCATAACTTCCTTAACAGCATCAATACCACATTTTTCACAAGCATTTCAAGCAGTAGCTTCACCTGTAACAACATATCATCATCCATTCCATTTATTATATTTCAATAACAATTTATCACAAGATATAAATCTAGATCTTTCACTAACCTTTGCCTAAAAATGACTCTTGTTCGTACTCTGCCAGCTCAGCAGAGCCTCCACCATGCCCTTCATATGCATTTGCAACCCTTCAACTTGTAATTTGCAACTAATACCTTTATCAGACCTAAAGTTTCCTGCACCAATAACAACCATATTATTAGACAATTAATATAAGAAAATAATAACAAAGAATACTTACTTTAATTATCTCTTTGTTTTTTCTTCAAGAAGAAGAAAAGAGGATGGAAAAACACTAAAAGCAGCGGATACAAGATAAGTAAACTCATAACTCAATGGAGTTATGCCTTTAACAGCTGCACTTATCATGTGAGGTGTCTCGGAAGCTAAACCACCAGCCACTTGTACCAAAATTAAAGGAGAAAACTTATGGGACATAATTGCAACAATCATCTATACTTAGGGCACATGTAATTTGGTGTCCATTGAGGTCAGGGCACATGTAATTTGCTGTCCCCACCACCTGGATTAAAGAAATTAAATCTAGATTAGCCATGGCTGTTGGCATTTCCTGTGCTGGCACTGGTCTGAGTGGGGCCATATCTCTGTTAGAACCTCTTACATCAGATGTAGTTGAACCGGTGTTTCAGGGGCTCGTGATGATATAGGGATAAAAGCGGGAAATAAGTCAAAAACAACATACTTTCATTTAATTTTTGTACTATAGCATCCTGCTTTCATTTGTTTCTAAAATTGCATTATAGTATTTTAAATAATTTAAAAAACTTAACTAACCTTTTGGAAAGGTACATCGCCTCCTGAATATCATCTCAAGCATCACCATAGCAGCAACCCAAAAGAACAAAATGTCATGCCCAGTTTCAAGAACAGCAGTTGGATAAAAAGTCTTCAAATCTTGAGTATCATCAGGCCACCCCAATACAGATAAAGGGAAAAGCCCTGAAGAAAACCAGGTGTCTAAAACATCAGGATCTTGAACCAATTCAAACTTTTTCCCTGAAAAGACCTTTCTAGCCTCAGCTTCAGCCTCTTTCTCATCCCTAGCAACCACCCAATGATCCATGTATGCTCCAAGCTCTTTCAGTTTATCATCCTCCAATGTCACATACCGTGCAGGAACTCGGTGGCCCCACCAAAGCTGCCTTGATACACACCAATCACAAATGTTCTCAAGCCATCTGTAAAAATCAAAAAAATTTAAAATTAATTAATAAAGTTTAAATGTTGTATATCAATTTTAAAGGTAGAATGAAAGACTAGAGAAGGTGACCTTTTCCATTCAGCAGCATACTGTTTTGGAAGTATATCAATTTTCTTGTTATTTTCATCCATTACAACATCAAGAGCTTCTTTAGCAATACCATTGCAGTTGACATACCACTGAGGCTTAATCATAGGTTCAATCACATCATTGCTTCTAGAACAAACACCTAAACGTATCTCATTCTTTTCTTCCCCTTTATAAAGTTCCTGGTCGCATCTGTGTATATACAAAAATCCATAAGATAAGAAAAATTGAAAATATATATTTTAGTTTTCTCTTATTATAAAAGGCAGGTTAAAAACTACTAATCACAATTCACAAACCTGTGAAACAATTTTTTTCATTTGAGGTTCAAAACCCATGTCAAGCATCCTATATGCCTCATCCAACACAAGGTAAGTCACCCTCCTCAGGTTTGTATGATGAGACTCCAACATATCAATCAATCTTCCAGGTGTAGCAATGATAATATGAACACCTGAAAGAAAAGATTTAAAAAAAATGATGATGAAACATGTGCTTTAGGCACAACAAAGATAGATAGATAGATATAATGCTGGAAAATGTTGAATACGCTAAAGAAGCATAAGGATCTACCCGATCCATAGTAGTAAATTCATCTTTGAGCTTATCACCACCTACCTTTATGTAAATCACGAACTTGAGGAACCTTTGGAACCCCACCATAAATGCAAGTATTCTTAATCTTTGAAGTTGTGCTAAATTTAGTTGCTTCTTGTTGTATTTGAACAGCAAGTTCACAAGTTGGAGCTATAACTAACACAATCGGTCCATCTCCTTTTACTGTGATACCTGTAAACTCGCCGGAAATGGGTTATCCTATTCATGTTCTGATTGTGAATTTGACCTTCACGTCCTTTGTGCTCATTCTATTACCGGTACTTCCCGTACTTATCAACCCTCAATGGTTCACCCCAATCAAACTCATGGTCAAGAAATGGATCCATAAAGTGGACAGAACTCTTACCAAGCACAAAATGCCTGCCCTCCTACTAGTATTCATAACCCTATTACTAATTTCCAATATTCTTTCGTGGCTCCTGTTATTGTTGGGGTTCAGCTTCGCGATTGCAGCTCTACATTTCTCTTCATCCTGCAATAAATGCTCTAGTTCTTCTATTTCTTTCTTAAGTTCACTGACTTCCTCATTCATATACATCTCTATCACCTGATCTTGTCCTTCCACTGACTCAAGCTCCTACAACATGAATTTTTATGAACGTTTATAATTAACTATTTAAACATAGTTTCTAAGATTATTAAGTTTAAAATGTGATAGAATATCATCTTAAGACTTAGCTGTTCATCAAGAGTAAATGTTCTTTGGTCCAATCACAAGAAGCACCAAGTCGCCTTATCAGAAGTCTTCTCTACCTGATTCAACCCTCTTAATTCATTCAGATGCCAACATTCTTTCAACAACCAAGTGAAAACAATATCTGTTAGATATATAATATATTAACTAAGTAGACTAGTACAATAATCAGAAATCCATTTGTGGAAAAACTCAAACCTGAGTTGCAATGCCAGCATGATCAGTTCCAGGGAGCTATAGTGTAGGTCTGCCCTTCATCCTGTTGTATCTGATCATAATATCCTGGAACACAATTGAAAATATGAATGGTTTGTTTATTTACACATTGAATAAAGAAAAAAATGATGAATTTTACAAAGTTTTTATGTGAATCTATGTTGTTAGTAAACATTTACCAAACCTCAAGAGTTACAAACATAGCATGTCTCATGTGCAATGAACCAGTCACGTTTGGAGGTTGCATTGTGACAACAAAAGGTTCATTTCCCTTATCAAAGTTTGGCTTGAAATGCCCTTGGGAATCCCACTAGAAGCAATCAATGATTACTACATAGAAATGATGATATGATAATCATTTTTTTCAGTTAATACGAAACATGGCACATTTGATCAAAAGTAATA